GGGGGAACCAGTGAATCCATGCAAAGCTTCCTGGATCACGCGCTTTACTCATTAACCAATCATAACCCCCCCACCCCCCCGACTTCCTCTTCATCAAAGCATGAAGCCGTTCAAAAAACCACAGAAAACTTCTAGGATTCTGTTTTAAGCAAGAAATAAAATAAGAATATAGACTGGAAGAGGAACTGCAAACATTTCCTGAAGTTTATTCACTAAATTATTTCTGAAGCTCTCCTTGTTTTTTTTGTTTGTTTTTTTTTACCGCTCTGAGATTTAAAAATGAAAAAAGGAGAAAAACAGGTTTTTAGGTTCAAAGCAAACAGCCAGTTTGTTACTTTTAACTGGAAGATGAGAATAAACTGCGGAGGATCTGCAGCAGTTTTCTCTTCATCTTCTCAACATTAAGATTCTCCATCTGCCATTTTGATTTTCTGCTTCTAAACCCACGCAGGCCTTAAAGGAGCGCCGCTAACCGGCAGCAGCGCCGCTAACCGGCAGCAGCGCAGGCTGGGACGTAGGCGGCTCACAGAGAAAGTTTGAAAATGTATTTATTCAAAAATATATTGAGCTCTCTGGCGCTAAAGTCATTACTCTGCTGATGAGTCGGACGGGTTTTTCCAAACTTGCAAAAGAGGATTTTAGTTAAAAAGACAGCTGCTCAACTAAAAAAAGAACCGCTGTTCTTTGCACGCGTTTGCAGTTTCTGTACAAGATGTTTCATTTGAGAAGCTGCGACAAAAAGATCCGACAGAGTCGCACTCAAAACGTAGAAAACATCAAGTTCAAAGTTCATCAACATCAAAAACGATCTGTTGTTTTTAAATCCATGGAAGTTGATTTTCATTTTGCAAACTAGTCCAACAAAAAGTAGCAATTAAATGAAAAGTAAAAGAATAGGAAATAAAAGTGATTACATGGCTGTTCAAAACTGAAAAGTGTGGCTTGCATTTGTTTTCTGTCCTCTCCATATCTAGGGAATCCTAATGCTTGCAATAGACCTTTAATTAGCAAATATCTGTAACATAATTAAACAAGCTGCACAATATTAGAACCATTAAAAGTCGGAACATTTCTGAAAGTTGCATATTAATAATTTTTTCCTTAGTTTGACACGTTGTCCTTTCCAGACTGTAAACACTGATGTTTGACTGACTGTAAATAAACATGAGGCTAACATCGGGGCGTTTGGAGACATTTAACTGATCAAATAGATCAATATGTCAGGTATAAAAAGTTCACTAATGTTGATCCAGTATCACAGATGCCAACAACAGATGGCGGCGCTTCAAAGCAATTCCATTCTATTCAGTTTATTTCTATAGCTCCAATTCACATCATGTCATCTCAGGTCACTTTCCAGTTCA